GGGCCCACCAAAACAACAATGACGGCTGCAACCAAAAAATAGCCGGGCATTGTGGTGGGCGCCTGTGGTCCCAGCTACTTGGGAGGCAGAGGCAGGAGACTCACTTGAGCCCAGGAGTTGGCTGTTGCTGTGAGCTGTGACGCCATAGCACTCTACCCAGGGGGACAGCTTGAGGCTCTGTCTCAAAAAATAAATAAAAATAGTGAAAAGGGTAGATTTTATGCCAGGGACTGTGGCTCATGCCTGTAATCCCAGTGCTTTGAGAAGCCAAGGCAAGAGGAGCACTGGAGACCAGGACAGGAGTTTGAGACAACTGTCCAGCCTGGACAATATAGTGAGACCCTATCTATACAAAAAATTAAAAAAATTAGCTAGGCAGTGTGGCACACAGCTGTAGTGCCAGCTACTTGGGTAGCTGAGGCAGGAGGATCACCCAGGATATGAGGTTACAGTGAGCTATGATCACAGATGATCTCTTTAAAAGAAAAAAAAAGAGATTTTATGTTATATATATTTACTGCAATAATAAAAAATAAATAAATAAAATTAAAAAAAGAAGAAACAGTGGTAGATTTCCAAAATTACCACCTGAGAGGCTCTTGGATAGACCAGGCATTCAAATTCAACTACCCACAAAACCTCATGTGGGGAGCTTATTGAGAATGTGGATTCCTGGGCCTTACCCCATGAATCTGATTCTGGTTTGGGGCAGGGTCCTCAAATGGCTTTAAGCTCCCTGAGCAATTCTACTACAGTGATCTGCAGATGGTAACTACAGACCAGTGGTGTCATGGGGCTAGCCCTCAACATTCCTTATCAGTAGATTCAAGGCCAGGCTTAGCAGGAGGAGATGGGGAGTAACTGCTACTGGGCACAGGGGTACTTTTTAGGGGTTATGGAATGTTCTGGAATTGGACAGAGTTGAGAGTTAAATTAAGGTATGGCTCACGCCAATAATCCTAGCACTCTGGGAGGTGGTTCCCCAAATGTGTGACTATGCTAAAAACCTCTGAATTGTATAATTTTATTTATTTGTATATTTTTGAGACAAGAGTCTCACTTTGTTGCCCTCAGTAGAGTACCATGGCATCAGCACTCACAGCAATCCAAAACTCTCAAACTCTTGGGCTTAAGTGATTCTCTTGCCTCAGCCTCCCAAGTAGCTAGGACTACAGGCACCTGCCCCATGTCCAGCTATTTATAGAGACAAAGTCTCACTCTGTCTCAGGCTAGTCTCAAACTCCAGAGCTCAGGCAATCAACCTGTGCTAGGAGTACAGGTATGAGCACCCAGCTGAGTTGTACACTTTGAAAGAATGAATTATGGTGTATTAATTATATCTCTTTTTTTTTTTTGAGACAGAGTCTCAAGCTGTCCCCCTGGGTAGAGTGCTATGGCATCACAGCTCACAGCAACCTCCAACTCCTGGGCTCAAGTGAGTCTCCTGCCTCTGCCTCCCAAGTAGCTGGGACCACAGGCGCCCACCACATGCCTGGCTATTTTTTGGTTGCAGCCATCATTGTTGTTTTGGTGGGCCCTGGCTGGATTCGAACCCCCCACCTTAGGTGTATGTGGCTGGCGCCTTAGCCACTTGAGCCACAGGCACTGAGCCATGAATTATATCTTAATAGAGCTGCTATTCAAAAAATGGAGGGATTAAATGAGATAAGGATTATAATGAGACTCACACTATGCCTGCAAACTTTTTTTTTTTTTTTGAGACAGGGTCTTGCTCTGTCACCCAGGCTACGATGCCATGGCGTCATCACAGCTTACTGCAACCTCAAACTCCTGGGCTCAAATGATCCTCCTGACTCAGCCTCCCGGAGTGCTAGGATTACAGGCATGAGCCACCACCTTAATTTCACTTTTGATAAATAATCTACTCTTTTTACACAGCCTCCTGGATGAGCTCCAACCACCCAATCAATGATAAGGGTAGAGTTTACCAGTAGACCCAGCTCTATAAGATGCCAAGTTAGTAAACCGTGTTGACATAAGAAATGAATAAAAGAAATAATACTAAGACGACAAGGCTATGCAAAAACAAGTACAGACATTCACAATAATCAGAAGAGAATCCAGAGCGATGGGAATCCATAAGCACTTCAGTTGTTAGGCTCATATTCCTGTCAAAGCAGCTCCTTCCTGTTCCTTTTACACTGTTAGAACGCCATTTACATAAACCTAGGTACTAGGAGGAGTTAACGGAACTCCTCTACTGCCTAGAGTTAACTGAATCTAAGAATACTCACAGAAAGATCCTCTTTCCACAAAAGCAGTAACGATGCCTACATTAGCACTTACATGTACATTTTACTAAGTTTTTTTTTTTTTTGGTTTGAGAATAAGTTATTTACCATTATGAGTCAACGTGTGCTCTCAAAAAGTATAAAGTCATTATCTTCTTCCAACTCAAAGGGTCAAAAAACCTTGAGTCCAATAAGTATTTACTTTTATCAAATGAGAACTCTGGGCTTGGCACATAGAACTTCATTTCATCTTAACAACCCACTGATACAGGTACTTAGGGAGTTCTATTTTACAGATAGCAAACTAAGGCACAAGGAGGTTAAATGAACACAGGTAGTCTGATTCCCGGAGCTAAAGATTTTCTTCTAGGTCAGGTACAGTGGCTCACACCTATAATCCTACTACTCTGGGAGGCTGAGACAGGTGGATTGCCCAAGCTCAGGAATTCAAGACCAGCCTGAGCTAGAATGAGACCTATCTCTAAAACTAGCTTGGTATTGTGGGGGGCACCTATAGTCCCAGCTACTCAGGAGACTGAGGCAAGAGGATCCCATGAACCCAGGTGTCTGAAGTTGCTATGAGCTACGATGATGCCAAGACACTCTACCTAGGGCAATAGAGTGAGATTCTGTCTCAAAAAACAAATAAAAAATAAAAATAAAGCTCAGCCCTCCTCCTGAGCTTCTCCCCTGGCTGCTGCGTGGGAGAGGAGGCCGGGACGGCAGATGAGATCGCCAAGGCTCAGGTCGCTCAGCCTGGTGGCGACAGGATCTTCAGGAAGATCATCTGCAAGGAAATCCCAGCCAAAATCATTTTTGAGGATGACCGGTGTCTTGCTTTCCATGACATTTCCCCTCAAGCACCAACGCATTTTCTCCAAAGAAACACATATCCCAGATTTCTGCAGCAGAAGACGATGATGAAAGTCTTCTTGGACATTTAATGATTGTTGGCAAGAATGTGCTGCGGATCTGGGTCTAAAGAAAGGTTATCGAATGGCGGTGAATGAAGGTTCAGACAGGGGACAGTCTGTCTGCCATGTTCATCTGCATGTTCTTGGAGGTCGGCAGATGAATTGGCCTCCTGGTTAAGCATGTTTTGGGGATAATTTGCCCTTCTCTAGGCAGTGATCAAGTTCGCAAGTTCTTATATGTTAAATAACACATCAATTTTTGCCTGTGTATGGAGAGATTGAGGAAATAATTATAAAAACCCATACATAATAAAATATATTGTTGCATGGTTTACAGTCAAAAAAATAAATAAATAAAATAAAATAAAGTTCAGGGCCTGTAGCACAGTGCTTACAGCACCAGCCACATACACTGAGGGTGGTGGGTTCAAAGCCAGCTATACAACTGCCACAAAAAAAAAAAAGCCAGGCATTGTGGTAGGCACCTGTAGTCCCAGCTACTTGGGAGTCTGAGGCAAGAGAATCACTTAAGCCCAAGAGTTTGAGGTTGCTGTGAGCTATGATGCCACAGCACTCTACCCAGGGCAACATAGTGAGACTCTGTCTCATAAGTAAGTAAATAAATAAATTTCTTCCTGAACTGCTTGCAATAATGAATCAGCTACATACCTGGGCACACAGAGAGCAGGAAATACCAAAGGGCAGGGACCGTGAAGTAGCTCAAATGCAGAGGAACCCCCTGCATTGATGGTGAGCTGGTGTTGAAATACAGCCATCCATTTCTCACTCAGGGCAGTCTCTTCCCTTTCCTACCCTACCCTGGCCCGAGGACAGAGGCTCTCCGTCAAACCTCAGAAGAAGAATGAGAGCCCTGAAAACACAAACTCCCCTTCCCAAATTTCTCTGAGACAGTGGGTTATGCCTCTGTGAGATGTGCCAAATGCTTAATGTATGGTGAACATGCAAAGATCCTAAACCACATTTTATTATGGAAAAGACATGAGCCTTACAACACAGAACCTAAAAAACTGAAAGTGCAATTTCAGGGTAAGCGGATGAAGACCAGCACTTCACTTAGACTCTCCGACAGTCATTTCAGCCCCTCTCCTGATTCTCACAGAGGCCATGAGGCCAGGGTAGAGGGCTGAGGAGTGGCAGGGGAGCCCGGGAAGCTGCACGTACTTGCATTGGCATTGGGGACAGGCACTGGCTGGGTATAATATGAAGGAGGATTCATGCCCTTCCCATCCGGGCCGGTCATGAGCCCCGTGGTCGGCCCAGGCATGGGTGCTGGAGGCGTGGGGTAGTAATTGTTAACAGCCACCGTCTCTTCATAGGATGGGGGCGCAGTTGGCGCTGAGGAAGGCCCCGCAGCTGCCTGGTAGGGTCCTGGAACCGACATTTTACCTAGAGCAAAAACAGAACATACTGGATAAGAAATTCAGTTGACCTCTCCATCCCCCCACCCCTTTTCCTCCCAGTCTTTAATTTTCTACATGGCAAACAGAAAAATCTTAGGAAATGACTTGTGTCTAGCCTTGTCCAAAAGCCAGAAAAAGTTAATGTCCCTTCAAGACCCCAGAATTACTACTTTCACAAGGGATTTCCTAAATAAAGGTAAAAAATAAATCATGACTACCAAGATCACTAAAACCCAGAAAATCCCGAGGGGGAACACTGACCCACTTGGAGCAGTTTCTTTCTCATAACTCAAACATTACCTGATAGTGACCTATCGTCAGTATCTAGAGTGCCTTTCTTTTTGTTAACCCCTGTGGTTTTCACTAACTGTTTCACGTAATGGAAAAGACAAAGGCATTCAATAAACCAACCACAAACCATCCCCCAAAAAGCACTGAGCCAGATACTCAAAACGAAACTCACACTGTATGATGCCACTTATATGAAGTTCAAAGACAGGCAAAATGAACCCAAAGGGCTAAAAATCAGGAAGGTGGTTGTGCTTGGGGGGGGCAACAGGGAGTTGGGTGGGGGTGCTGGTCACACAGGAACATTCACTGAGTGGAAACGGGAGTCACATAATGAACGTGTGTGCACACTTTTTTCTAAGTGTATTATAGTTTTTTAGAAAAGGAATCACACATACACACCAGTTCTCATTTTGAATAATGAGTAGCAGAATACCCAGAAACATACTCTTTGTGAGGGCAGAGAAAGGATCTTCCCCCACTGGCAGAGCTGCTGCCTGCCTAGAATTACACCCGATCCCATGCCGATCCGTGCTGGGCAGCCACGGGCCAGCTGGAGGCAGGCACAGTGCTGTCCTTTGTGTGGCTGTTTTTTCACCCGGGCAGGGGCTCAGGCTGCGTTAGGAGAGCCATTCAGACCTGCCTGTCTTGCGAGAAATGGGGGGCTGAGCCCCAGGGCAGCAAGCTGCACTGAAGCAGTGGGTCTCGGGCTGTAGCTCTCCCCACACATCTTGCCTCAGTCCTGCCTGGTTGGGAAGCAGGGGCAGCAGTTAATCCTACGGGGAGAGGGAAGAAGGGGGGGATCCATCACAGAAGCTAAGCCTCTAAACTGGTGGTTCTCAACCTTCCTAATGCCAAGACCCTTTAATACAGTTCCTGTGGGTCGCGACCCACAAGTTGAGAACAGCTGCCTAAACCAAGCCTGAAGAATCCAGGAAAGGATATTTCAAAGTGGAAATAATGGCAGGGGTGTGTGTCAGTAAGTAAAGACAGACAGGTTGAAGCTGGGCTCTAGAGAATGCTGGCTGTCCCCGGGAGGTGCGCACACTCTACTGCACCACAGCAGACAACGCCGTCTGTCAGAATCTTCTGTGAGGACAGAAATGTTACGTATCCACTGTCCCATGTAACAACCACCAGTCACATGGAGTGTCAGGCACCTGAAATGTGGCCAGTGTGAGAGAGGAACTGAATAGTTCGCTGCATTTATGGTTAAGCAATTTAAACATTCTTTTTTTTTTTTTTTTGAGACTGAGTTCACTCTGATACCCTGGGTGGAGTGCCATAGTGTCATAGCTCACAGCAGCCTCAAATGCTTAGGTTCTCCTGCCTCAGCCTTCCGCGTAGCTGGGACTACAGGTGATTGTCACCACATTGGGCTATAATTTCTGTTTTTAGTAGAGACAGGGGTCTCACTCTTATTCAGGCTGGTTTTGAACTCCTGGGCTTAAGAGATCCTCCCACCTTGGCCTCCCAGAATACTAGGATTATAGTTGTGAGCCAGCAGCCCAGTCCAGGCAATTTAAGTTTAAAATTGTCCGAGCAATTTTTCTTTTTTGAGACAGAGTCTCATTTTGTCACCCTTAGTACAGTGCTGTGGCTTCACAGCTCACAGCAACCTCAAACTGTTGGGCTCAAATGATCCTCTTTCTTCAGCCTCCCAAGTAGCTGGGACTACAGGTGCTTGGTTATTTTTAGAGACAGGGTCTTGCTCTTGATAAGGCTGGTCTCAAACTCCTGAGCTCAAACAATCCACCTGTCTCAGCCTCCCAGAATGCTAGGATTACAGGCATGAGCCACTGTGCCCAGCCTTAAATTTAAAAATTGATACTTAGCTTGGCGCCCGTAGTACAGTGGTTATGGCACCAGCC